AAATAAATTTGCTATTTGTTTTGCTCCGTATCTCTAGTTAAGTTAGATTGTTTATTATAATTTACTAAGTATTCTAGATCTTATATAAACAATAAATTTAAATAATATATTATAAATTTAATTTTCAAACTTTTTTGGCGCCCCCTAAGGCGTGCGCCCGCATTTTTTGAATGTCTTGAAACATTCGATTCAGAATGTCTTGAAACGTCGAGAAACCATAAAGTTAGAATATCGGATTTATTTATGAAAGCAAACTTGTTCTTTGGTAAGTTAGCAATCGTACCGGATAGTTTTTCTCATATTTATTTTCTCTTTTAGAAAAAAACTATGCACGTGCCAACATATGTGACTATGTACTCGTATACTATCAACCTGATTACATGTTGCTACCCGTACCACAATTCCAAACCTTTTCCCGGTGGCTAAATTAATACAAATTCGCAAATAATTATTACAAACGGTTTGAAACTTTTTATCTCCTTTGCACTCTCAAAGTCGAAGTGAAGCTGCGAACGCATAACGCTCTTGGCCCGTGTCATTTTTCAGTCGGTAGCTAGAGTGTAGAGAGTTCTGCACCATCTCCCTGAGAAATTTCTCGATTCTTTTGCGTGAAATAGAATTGAATTCCGTCTCTAGTATTTATCGATGTCGATTTATTTCTACGAAACTCATCGTTTTCAAATGGAAACTCGGACGCAGTTTTGCTAAATCGACGTCATACATTACACGAGTTATACGGAGATGTTGAAATTGTTATCGGATTTCAATTTCTACTTGTAAAGTTTATAAGAGTAATCCTGGTAAAGATTGGTTGTTCTTATTTGTAAGTATTGAAATTTATAAATAAAGTGTTGAGGATTTTTTCATTGTGAAGTGAATACTTATTCCTGATATACATATTTCACGATCAAGTTGTAATTAATTTCCATTTCAATAATAATCCTTTGCAGACTGCTTTGTTGATAAAACAAACGCCCGAACGATTAATATTCATCAAGCGATTTGTTATTTTCATACACTTAGAATATACAAAATATATTCATACTCAAGTTTCGTTCTCCGTTATAATGTAATTTCCTCTTCAATGAATATTCATAAACATTACTTTCGCTTACTTATATTTAGAAATTCGGCGATTCGGCTACGCGAAAAGTGATATTTCAAGTTCACTGGATTAATCAGCAGCTAGCTTTGCCTAATTTTATTTTCGTACCCTTTGTTTTAATTAACTTCGAAATAACGAATAAATTATTGGTTATGCCCTTTAAAATTGTCTGCAAAAGTCATTAATGCCGCTTAATGGAACATTATATTACAGAATCATTCGTTGTGAACATAAAAGCAGATTTCTCTTACAAGTTGAAAGAAAATTGTACTTCTTAAATGACTTTTAATACCGAATTTGAGTTCATGGATTCAAGATTAAATCAAGCTGGTTTTGTTGGAAGTGTAATAACAATTGAATAATATTGGCGATTACGAATTCTTCCACCAGTTGATAAATGTATTCTGAGTGGTTAGATATTAATTTAGAAATACGAATAAGCAGCACTATTTTTTGCACTAATTTATTAAATAATATTAATTTTACAAACGTTTCGAGTCTAAGTTTGTCTCATCATCAGTGTATTATAATGTAAAATCTAAAATAGCATTATGTTCTTCGTAAGAAGAACTTAGTCTTAGTCTTATATAAAAAGGACTAAGAAGATCCAAATAGCCACATTAAATTTGTTAAAGCTGCTCCAAAGCTCTATTCCGTACGGCCAGATAAGAATTATTGTCGTTTTATAATCCAAGATTTTTTTTTCGGGTGCTAATTTTGAATTATTTTCACCTAACTCTGGACATGATAGTTTTGATTTTTGTTGTAATGTAGTGTTTCCATGTTGGTATGCGGCCTAGGGGCATACCTAGGTATTTAAACCTCCGTCTGTCGAATATTTATTTACCTTTGAACGGTTGGAGTGGTCTGGCTGGACCATCATTCATTTTACATGCATTTATATGGGATAAATGAGTTTTTGGTGTCTTATATATTAACGATTATTACTAGTAAATATTCTTTCTTACCGTCTTTTGCATCGAGCTTGCGTCTAATAAAAATATTTCAAAAACAAATCATGGAATATAAAAAAATCGTTATTTTTTGTTAATTTTTCTGTTTTATATCAATGAAAAACAATATTTATTCTTCTTCGGCGCCTTCGAAATGAATGTGAAATTCTAACAAAACGAAATGAGGTGCGCCGCCTTTGAAATGAGCTATAAAACTCAAATTGAAAATATAATTTCAATTGTACTGCATACTTACCGCTACAGGTTTGCCAAAAAAGTTTCTAACGCAGTATGGGTGGAAAAATTGTTGATTGTGCGCATTATTCATTCGATTTTCAATGTTTGCGATAACCAATAAGTTTGATAGGTTTTCAAAGAATTTTTATATGCAACTTTTATGTTACAACACATAGCAAAAAATACATAAAACGCAGTTTAATAGAAAATACCGTCATACTTCATACAAAATACAAACCGACCACTCCGACCGTTCGAAGTATAAAAAAGTTAATATCCTTATTATTATCTTTCTGTACATTTTTTCGTCCTGATTTTTTTATTGATCGAATCGATCGAGCTAATGAAATTTTAGGAAAAGTCAAGAAATTTCAAGTCGATGGCATTAATAAAAGTATTTTTTTTTCAATTGAAGTCGAAAAAAGTCTGACCAGACCACTCCGACAGACGGAGGGTTAACATGAACAGCTCTTGGTATTACCTGGTCAAAAATATGCACTCCTGGGCATTTATTATTGAGCGTAAATGTTATATGGTTGGATTTGCTCTCGTTGATTTTTATCGGGTCATTTTTCCAGTGTTTGATAACTTTTGGATGCCTTGGTAAAATTGTCGAAGCTATTGACGCATCATCCATCAGAATTTATTTCAAACCAGTTTTGAAAAATAAGCTTAAATGTCATGCCAATGTAGACCTGCGTTGACAATTTCACAACATGTATAACTATGTATGGCGCTTGTGGGCCATTTATTATTATTAATTATATTTAGAAGTGTAGTTTATTGATAACTACATATGATAATTGATAGTTGTGAAGTTGTAGACTCGATGATATGTGAGTTTATTGATAACTCAATTTACAACGAAACTGATATGATATAAATTTTGATATCAATTTATTAGCCCGACAATTGATCGCTGATTAAAACCGAGAGAAAATTTTACGATCGTGCAAAACAATAATCTACTATAGCTTGCTAGATGCTACATTCGCATCAGCGTAGCTCCAAGTATGCTGTGTAGTTTAGTCATCACATTGGCGTCAATCAACTGACATCTGTCAAGAACATTTTCATTCCGCCACATATGTATTTAAAAGAATTGGGTATAAACAATCAAACGATTATAGGCGAATTGTAAAAACATTTGTATAAACGATTACTGATCAGCAGACTTGCTCATATGACTAATTAATATGTTACCAACGTATCATATATATCTCATACGTTCCATATAAGTTTTTTATTCATTTTCTTTTCAATTTCAGAATCTATCTCTGTGCATCGACGCAAACCACCTAAGTACTGAACTGGGTCGTATAGAGTCGGAGCGTCTATATCACATAGGCTACGAGGAGTATCTGGCCATGGAAGCGTGCTTGGCGCGAGCGTCGGGCAGAATAGCAATAAGCACGCGATCGGGATCAGTCCGTATCAGGCTGAAAAAACTATGGAATTTGGAATGCTTTCTTGATTGGATCGACAGACTGGTGTTATTGGCCGCTAATGAAGTCTGCCAGGTGAGTTTTTACATATGTGATACGATACGTGTGCGGAATTTTTTTGCCCTGTATACGGTTTTTGTGCACATTTGTTTGTGTACATACATAATTTTTTGACTTTTTCTGGATCTCGTATTAAAAAGTTACAAGCTCGTACTATTTTGTGATTGCAATCTGTCTATGCTTTGTTGTCACAACTATAGCTATAACTATACTATGGAGTATAATTTCTAACTAGTGGTTTCATCATGGTATTGTTGCTTCAAAGCAATTTGCTTGAACTTCTCGTACCATAATTTAAAATTCTTAAATCTTTACAATTTTTTCTTTGAACTGATTGTTTGAACTATGATCTGACGGTTAAACATTATAAATCATGGTACCAACTTCGCAGAAATGCAAACAAAATTTGTACTAATTATTAAAATCTCTATAAAATATTTGATAATTTGAGGGGCATTTTTATTTTTTTCATTGTCTTTCCATCGTTCATTTTGTCAATACAAATAAAATGTTGTTTGAATCATTCAAATTGGATACTCCATTATCTCAAAAACTGAATTACCATTTTTGGCATTTTTTTCTACCTTCATCATATATTCATTGTTTCTAATATAAGGTATGCCAAAACTCATCCATATTGTACGCTCCGTTCTCTCAAAAACTCAATTATCATACTTGGCACTTTTTGTTTCGTATCTTCGAAATGAATGTCCCTGCCTCCGCCAAAAACTAATAAGCACAATGTCTGCGAATGGGAATCGATTATTTCTTAAATTATTAATTTCGTGTTCTGGAAATCGTCGCCAAAAATTGCATTCGCACACACATATATCCATTGTTTTTAGCATAAGGTATGCCAAAATGTTCAGAAGAATTGAATCGTAAAGATATATAAATTTATTGTGAAAAATGCTAATTATATATCTCTGTAAATATTATATTCCTTTACGTCTTAGGCTTCAAGATTATTATAAAATAAAAATGTGTTTTTTGTAATATATGCCATCGATATAATAATACTATGCAATCTGGCTCTTAATTCATTCGTCTAAGTATTTTATAAATATGTATATTATATCATGGCATTATCGACATTTCTAAAATTGCTTAACAATGACTAAATACTACAAAGAGACTTTTGCTAAATGAAAAAATATTATAATTAGTCGTTAACATGGTTTAAAATGTCATGTTTCCATGAACCAACAAGACGTGATTAAAATTTGAATTTGAGAACACAAAGAATATTTTGTTTGCTGGGTAATTTGATATTATTTTTATGCTAATTGTTTTAGAATAAATTTGTTTTGTGGAAATTTACAATAAACGGTTCTAACAGTAGTTGTCAAAATCATTATCAAACCATTATAATATAAATTATTAATATCATAATCCGCTCAGTACATTTGAACTAAAATGGTTTTCTATGTATACAAATACTATTCATAACGACGCTCTATATACATAATGTGTCATTTCCGAATTACTATATGAATTTAAAATATTGATGGACAGTTAATAGCAAATGCATAAAACTAATTTCCGAAACATTTGAACTGTTCAGTATCGAGGTTAATTGACACTATACAAAATCATGTTTACAACTTTATTGGTCAAGAAGTATCATTGGAAAGTTAGGGATAGTTTTTTTTTGTTGGTTAATAATAAAGTTAACTATCAAAGCTGCTGGTATTATTAGCAAGTGGGTAGTAAATATTTTTAATTTTTTTTTGCATGTCAAGTTCATACGTTTTTGATCAGATTTGTTTTTAATGAAGTTTGTAAAAAACTGTTGTATTACTAGTACTACTTTTATGAGCATCCTACTCCATTTAATTTGCAAATACATAAATCTCTCTGCAATTCTATGTTGCCATATTCAAATTCAAATTCAACAGTATTAGTTTCAATATATTTTCATGCAAAACTGTGCGAATAATATTATTCTAAACTGCAAAAAAAATACTTCTTTTGTATTGCATTTTTAAGTCTCTTTACAAAAATGTTATATTTGGCAACTGTGTTCTTTAAATAAAATGTAGGCGTATAGGCACATGTGTTCAATCAACATTATTTCCAATATGATTTCAAAAGAAAATCCGGAGAAAGGAAAGGCAGACCATTGTACTAATGGTTTTTTGTTCTTTTTGTCACAAAGCAAGTTGCGATGAACAATGAACTTAGAGCGATGTCGAGAGTACCCGTCACAAAAAAAAACTTGATTTGTGCTTGCGGAAAATTTAATAACGTCGACGAGAATATTTAATTGTAAAAAAATCTAATCAAGGTTTTATAAAAAGTAGTCGATGGAATTTTTGTCTCTCTTGTAAGTGCTTTCAATTAATCACGGTAAAATTTTTGTTTAATCATTCAGAGAGCATTGGATGAAATTCACATTAACTGAAAAGAAGTGCTTAATGATTTAGTCTGAAACTTCAAAAATATTATTTCGTTCATTATATAATTTTTTTCAAATAATAGTTAAAAAAAACAAATACATAAAGTGATGGATTACAAACAATGTCATTTAAATTTAGTCTATTTTGAAATCTTTAATGTATATAAGTATAATGTGTATAGAATTTACAAACATAATTTAATTTAATGTATTGTTATCAATATGATAGATGTACATAGTTTGTAAGTCATAATGTTTATATAATGTATCTGAATCTGATTTGAAATAAAAAGTATTTTTAAAACAAAAAACAAAACAAACAATGTTTTTAGATTGATGAACTGAAAATCAATTGAATTCAGTTTATTTAATATTACTTAATTATTTCAACTTAATTTGTGATTAATTACATTGTCTTCAATTTTGTTGTCGTTGTAGGACATTATACTATATTTTCACAATTTTTGTATTTTGATATACTGTAAATTTTACTCATTGTTAGAGCAATATTAAAAGTGCCACAATGTTTAAAAATAGGTGCCTGTATATCATTCAAATTCACGGTATTTTATTTCCAAAGAACTCTTGTCGCTTCTGTGCTTTTGTATCGAACTCAACATCTAGTATATGTTTTCAATGCTCGTATTTATATTTCCTGCAACGAACAGAAAGTTGAAGCAAGTAAACTAAAAGAAAATACTTCGATAAATGTACACAAAAGCTTTGTAAAGCATTGGATAATTGGCTTCATAGTAAATATCAAGCTAACTGGCAACATATATATGTATATATATATATATATATATATATATATACATAAATATATAATATAAAGAAAATATGGGCAGAGTGACACAGTGGCCTCATTCAAAAATTGACCGGTTTTAGTAATGTTTTTGTGACAGTATAAAGTTTGGGTCAGATGTTGAGCGTCATTGTCGCAGTAATCAAACTGAAACGTATATCGCGCCTTCTAAAGTTTATTTTGAGTGTGGTTTTGTCGTGTTATTCAGAATTTAATTATTTATTGTAATTGTTGTTTGATGAAGTTTTAATTATTAATTCATTTTCTTCACTTTTGGAAAAAGGAAAATCTTATACAATGGACAAAATAACATAGTACTATTTTGCAAAAACGCAAAAGCAAAAGCTAAGAAGATAGAAAAGTAAAACCTATAAAATGTCTTTGGATTTGAACTTTTATTCTAACAACTGAAAACAGACCAAAGGATTCGCCGTTAAAAAGAAGAGTCTTGCATCTATTGCAAACACCTCTATTCATGTTCTAAGCCCGAAAACTTGTTTCTTTGGACTAATAGTTTATGCGCTGATATCTTAAAGAGTACCAAACAATTTATTTATAAACTGCATTCTAAAAAAATAATAGATCAGTATACCCTAACTTCATATGTCACTTTGTCCGTACTATATGGACAAAATGCATTTTACTTTACTAAATTTTGTTTTATAGTTTCTACTTAATTAAAAGACTATGTTACTGATTTGCCAATGAATCTAAGATAAGTCATTTATCATTAAATAAATAAATATCATTAAAAACGAAATACCCTATTATTTTGCAAGTGCTTTCCCTATGTGTATATGTATGTATAAAAATCGCATTCAATAAAATACATAATAAAATTTATTCACTTTATTCTATTCACATATGACTATTTGATTTAGGATATTTTTCTCTTTTACAAAAATGTTACTCATTATTCCATATGGCATATAGAATTATTACACATGTATAAACTTTGGATAACTGCTTTGTATTTTTTTTTAGCTGAAAATACGTTTATTATAATCAAGAATTGCAATCATATAGGCAAGGTTTCATAGAAATATATCATTATAATATGTATATATGCAATTAAATTCTACAGATTGAGTTACAAATTAATAGATAGAAAACGATATGTACCAACTCCCAAAATGTATTAAACTTGAATCTAGCAAAAATATTGACCATCGATTAGTCTAATAAAGATAATTATTAATATAGTAATTACAAATATAGGTATGGTGTATAATGGATGATTTGAAAATTCACTATTATTTTTCAATTAAAATAAATTTGCCCTCACATTCGATACCAAGTGGATGTCTGAGAAAATCATTATTCCGATCGCGGAAGCAAAACGCGTTACTTGTTAGAACTCGAAGCGATCGCTAGAAATAATTGGTTCAATATAACTTCACCGCAAACGGATTATTTTCTTCTCCCTAGAGTGTCAGCAAATATAGTAGTTTCTATATAACTTTATTGTTTTTAACTATTAATCAAAACAAAGTTTTCTCTTATGATATAAATATGTGTGGAACGCTTGCTCATTAAGATAGTAGAAAAAGTTTCGCAACAAATTGTATCATTGAAACTTTTGATTGGATATGATTGAAGTGTAACTGCAAAAAGGAAAACGGAGTGAATTATAATTTTCACTCTATATGTTATATTTGCCTAAAATGTAGTTTGGAAATGTATATGTTTGTTCATTTTGTCCGATGGTAGAATTAGATATTCAATTCTATGTTGTTATTAAGTGATTCATAAAATATCAAATATCAAGTATCAACAAATACATATTTTTGTTTTATGAATTTTAACGCCACTATGTAATTATTCATTTCATCAATATTATTATATGTTTTCCGGGTTGATAAATTATTATGTTCACAATCATTGTACATTGTTGTACATTCGAATAAGGATTAGTGAAAATGCATGGCAAAACTTGTGCCAACAAAATTTTGAGTAATAGAACCATTGAATTAGTCATATCTGAATACGGAACAGTATTCATGAAAATCCCGTTTAAGTCGCAACATGAAGTGCAGGATTTACTCGGCATATAATATTCGCATTTCTCTAGGCTAATAGCATATATGCAAATACCTGCATATACATACCCTTAGACATAGACTTATATATGTAAGTATATATATATATATATATATATATATATATATATATATATGTAAGTATATATATATATATATATATATATATATATGTATATATATATATATATATATATATATATATATATATATATATATATATATAAGGTCCAATTCGACTTTAAGTAATTATACTGTCTAAACCAAATAAACAACATCACAACAAACGACATGTATCAAACAAGCAACTATAGTACTATAATCAGTAAAATTCTCAGTTAATTCGTAATTATAAAAATGTGTATATTGCTATTTTTCAATGTCATATTTGTAACTTTGAAGTATTTTTTTGTATATTTCTACATAAGTAAAATATAAATATAACACTGTATGTAACCTTGATCTGGTATTTTGTTAGAAATATTTATCAGCAAGGTTAGAATTTATTTCATTTATCTTTTGTCAAATTGTTTTTTTTTTAACATGATATACTTTTTTGTTTACTATTTTTTTATTATCTACATCTTTGCCAGGGTAAATGTTCAATTAGTTCCTTTTGAATCTATCTCAAAAATAACAACAGATCTTAACAAATAACTAAATAATCAGACTCAAAAATCATATTAAGATCTCGTAAACTGAACAACAGTGCTTTCAAACAAAAAAAACTAACGACGAAAAAAAATACTTTTGTTATGGATTTGCAAACATTGTCGTTTGTCTTCTAATTGCGACATCATAAGAATCATGATGATAGTTGGATATACACCTTTTGCCCTTTTTGATATTATGGGGTAAAAATTCCTAAATTTTCTTGTTTTTGAGATATCGGTGGTGAACTTTATTACCCCCGGACCTTTGACCTCCGATTTACCCTATATATAATTTGTCTTTACATTTATTTTGAGTATTCTCGGTTCCAAGCAATTATAAAAATCGACACTTTCTGTAATGCTTGAGTTACGAGAAAAAAAATACTTGAGAATCTACACGTAAATATCAGCTCAATCAAAACATTTTTCAATTTTTCACATAAATCGTAAAAATACGTCGTAAGCATGGTTATTTATATTTTAGACGACTAGGGAAAAGAAACGCGTAATGACTGTTTTTGTCACTTGTTAAAATGTTATTTTAAGCTCCCTGATACTTTCGATAGCTGCTTGAACATTCTATTTATATGGCGCCATGAGGTAAAAAACATTATTTTTGATTTATTTCGATTTATGAGAAAACTACCTAAAATTCTTCTAAAATTTAAATCTCTATTCTACATCATAGTTTTATTGACTGTTGTAAATTTTTTAACTTCCCGTAAGGTAAGTTATAGTAATCGCAAAAAATGGAAAATGAAATTTTTTTGTATATCTTTACGTTTTAAAGGGTTTTGAACATTTTGGCATACATTAGAAAAAATTGATGTATGTGTGTGTATATGTGTGTGTGCGGATACAAATTTTTGTCGACGATTTCGGGAGCACAATTCAAAAAACATTCGATTCGTATTGATGAGAAGACGTGCTGATTAGTTTTTGCCGAAGGCATACACGTATAAGCTCAAACAAATGTCCTCGACATTTTCGACAGTATGGAATAACCGATTTGAATAATTTAAAAAACATTCGATTTGTATTAATAATAAGACGTGCTGATTAGTTAAAAACAGTAACTCAGTTTTTAAGAGAACGGAGCGTCCGATTTTAATAATTCAAAAAGAATTTAACTTGTATTGACAAGATGGAAGACTGATTAAATTTTTGGGAATGCAGGACTAGCGGTTATAAACTCTCAATGAAAATAAGTTAAAAAAAAGTCATTTGGCCGTCAAAAATATTTATTAGACATATGTACATCAAATTATCAGATATTTCATAGAGATTTTTATAATGTGTATTCATTTTGTGTAATTTTTTTTGTGTTCCGTACCAAGATTTTTAATTACTGTACGGAAAGTTCCAGCAATTTGCCTCAAGGCACGATGCCATGCACCACACTAGTTTATAAGAAATTGATATTTCATGAATTTCATACGTCTATTTTTCTTTTCAGCCGACGACTGCAGCTTCCCGAGCGACTATGCTGCAGCTTTGGGTAAACACAGCTCAATGCTGTCAATTGAGTGGAAGAGTTTTAACGTGCGCTGCAATAGTCGCAGCACTTACTAGTGAAGTAGTTCAAAGACTCAGGGAAACGGTGAGTCGTAATTCTATATTAAAATATTGTGGCGATCAAGTCAGCTTTGACATAGGAGGATAGTAAAAGATTATGTCATGACAAATAGATATTTTTGTAAACAATATTTCATAATAAATTTTTCATAAATATTTACACATTAACCGGGAGTGATGTGGCGATCAAGTCAGCTTTGATATAGAAAGATAAAAAAAGACACATAGATATTTTTGTAAACAATATTTTAAAATAAATTTTTCACAAAATTAGAAATAAGTTTGTTATAAATTAACATATTTCCACATTAAAGGGGAGTGATGTAGCCATCAAATCAGCTGTTATATAGGAGGATAACAAAAGATCATGTCCGGATTTATAGATTTTTTGTAAACTAAATTTAAATTTAACTAAAGTTAGAAATATTTGGGCCAGCGGTGGCGAAATCGGTTAGAGCGTGGGCTAGCAACAACTAGTTCCAGGTTCGGTGGTTCGATTCCCGCTACCGCCGTAGCCCGACATCAGTCAGCTTTGATGTCAAATTTCTACTTGGGATTATAAATCACAATATAATTCCAAGTGGAAATCGTCCTTCGTGGACATAGCTGCAACATCCAATCACATGTTAACTATTAGACGTAAGAGCTAATATCAAAAATATCCCACACATAAGAGAATGGTAAATCGATGGATTACCTCTCATGAAATAAGTGGTCACAAGTCTTAACCAACAGCTTATAGAACTTATAAGAGTTCTGATTGCTGTTCAAACAATTACAATAATAATAGGAATATTTAATTATAAATTAACACATTTTCATAATATAATAAGCGGTTTTAATCTTATTAACACTTTGGGGACGGCTGTCCACCTGAATGGACAGCATACTTTGTTAGGCTACCAGTAAGGCACACGCTATTTTATAAACAATGACTCAGTTTGCATCGAAACGTTGAATAGATTACATACAGCAGTGATAAACAGTGTTGTTTTTGGAAAATAATTATTAGTTATTTTCGAAGTATTTTCGGTCTTTTTTTGCTATATGGCCTTTTTTTTAAATATGGCAAAACGACTGGTGAATTTTGTGAAGTAAGCAGTAGACGAAATACTACAAAAACCAATGTCACACCATAATTTTGTAAAAGGTTTTGTAAAAAGGTTGAGAGGTAATTTTCGAAAATCTCAAACATTTCCATCTACATCGTTTTTACACAATATACTGACTAATCAGTAGCATGTTCTAAACGCGAGAAAAAGAAAAAAGAACCGTATAGTAGGTTCTGACAAAAAAGCACCAGGAGGAATAGAATATTTTATTGTAAAACATGTCAAAATCAACCCGCTATGCATGTTCGAAATTGTTTTAAACGTTACCATTCTTTATAAAATGATCAAAAATAATTTGATATTACATATAAAAGTATGTCCTTCAATGACCACAAATTTTCATCAAACAAATTGCATATCATACACAATGAAATCATGTTTACAGCCGGTACAGTAGATTATTTTGAAATCGGTGCCGTCCCGTAAGTGGAAACACGTTTTTACAAAATAATAAACGGTTTTAATCTTATTAACTGTAATTCACAGAGCTACAGTTAAAATTGAAGGAGTTAACAAATATTCCTAACTAGTTATTCATTCTTTAGTTTTAACAGCATCATAATTTATGTTTAAGCGCGTAGTAATTCTCGGTTTTAATCTGTCGAAGCTGCGTATTTGTTTGAGAATTATAATATTTCACAGCTTCCTTCTGGTGTAGTTCAAGTATTTATTATTAACTTGGGTGGGCATAAACTTGAAACATTTAAGCCGATTATAGAACCTTAGCTATAATATATATATATATATATATATATATATATATATATATATATATATATATATATATATATATATATATATATGTGTGTGCATGTATATATAAAAATATTCGTATTTTGGAGTATACAGAGTGGGCCTATTGACCGTTAACTCTCCTGAAAAAAATTAGAGATAAAATTATCTAATGCTGTTGAGAAATTATGAGCATTTAAGTGCAACATAAGCTTTGGTGAAATTATAAAGATTTTTAGGTTATTGTGGTTAACTTTTATTAATTTTGTTTTTTGTTTTCCATTTAATGAAATTGTAACCAAGCATAATATTTTTATGATCACAGTAAAATAATACCACAATTACCTCAAGTTTTCAAGAAGGTCGACTTTGAAAGGCCGTCTTCAAAAAAATAAACTGAAGTGTGTGGCAAGTTTCATCAGAAATTCGCGCATTTATTAAGGATTCTAAAATATTAACATACTTGATAACTCTGTTTTTGAAAAATTTTGAGAAAAAATAAAAACCTAAAAATAATACGATGAAGGCTGGCGTATTTCACTCACATTTAGTTCAAATATTTTTCTCACTTGAACCGATCGTAATTGAAATGCACTAGTAAGAATCATTCTATGTCATTCTTACGTTTTTATTTTTTTACTCGAATTTTACAATAAATATTTCTAATCAACATCTAAAGTTTGAAATATTAAATTGAAAGCTTTGTAAAAAAATATTAAATTTATAAATTCCCCTTTCATATTTTTATGAACTCCAAATAATATCTTCTAATTAGAGCTAAACTACCTCACTCGATATTAACCACAATAACAACAGATCCTAACATACATATGCATATGGGTGGTGCAGTTGGAAACTAAACCTTGCAATATCTTGAATTTCGAAATATGTTAATTTCTCACCGACTAGGTGCCAGTAATATCTTGGTCCTCTGTATTTTGTAACATAATCCTCACTATACGACAAGAGTACCCGTCGTTAATTAAACACTATGGGAAGCATAGAACATCTTATCCCTCTCTTATGAAGTTTATCGCTCAGTTTCATATATGTAACATATTCGAAATTATCCTCATAGCAAGTTAGGATATCAGCGAAAATTGCGGTTTAACTACTTTTGACTATATAATGCCGTTTAACATTATAGTTGACATTAATCTATCTTATGGTTTTAATAAAACATTATTAGAATTCTGTCTTGTACATCAATGCGAGTGAGGCATGGCATCGTGCCTTAAGGCAAATTGCAGAAACTTTCCATACCATAAATTCGAATTTTTAAAAAAGCCGTAAAATTTTCAGAAAACTTTGAACAAATTTGATTTTAATTCATTTGGATATTTTTGAAAATATAACTCTTTTGAATAATTTTATTTTATTTCTATTTTGAAATTTTTTGACTTTTTTTAAAGCAATCGCACTGTGTTTAGTTGCGTAGAGACGAAATATCAAAGCGCGTAAGCGCCGCGTCGCAGTGTTACGGATAAACATTGGTACGGAACCCATAGAAATGTAAACAAAATTTGTACTTAAAATCCTTATAAAATAACTGTCAATTTGATGTGCATATGTCTAATGTTCATTTTGGACAGTCAAATAATTTTTTTTACAGAGCTAGACCTGTCTTCCCAAAAAATTAGTCAGCTCTTCATTTCATGAACACAAATAAAATGTTGTTTGCATCATTCAAATCGGACGCTCCGTTATCTCAAAAACTGAATTATCATTTTCAGAACTTTTACTTTAAATCAATGAAATATAGCTATGTTAAAGCCTATATTTGCCAAAAACTAATCATCACGTCTCCTCATCATATCGAATCGATTAAAAATTCTAGCTTAAATCCTTACGACTTATAATTTAATATGTTCGCCGATTATTATTATTCGTACAAGTTTCCAGTGGAAAAAAATCACTTATCTAAAATCTTGTACATATACTTGGTCTTACCTCAAGCTGCATGGATGTCAGCATTTCTTCGCAAAATTGCACAGAGTCAAATTGTTCACTCACACACACTTTGTTTTACGCGAAATTATGCAAAATTTATTTAATTAGCACTCTTGTTTTAATAATTAATTAATTTACGCGCATTTTATTATCTACTACACTCACTTCTATTTTAAAAAGTCTTTTATTAGGCTGAAAAAAAAATGTTGATTAGTCAGGGGTACGGTCACAATTTTGCCTACTCTAAAAACAATATTGATAATATGAATAGTTAATTATGTAACTATTTGACAACTTCCTAACTATGACCTAGTTTACCGTTTTTTGTAAACGCACAACGAGACGTGTGACCGTACCCTTAGAAATCATGCCTAAGAATTAAAAACGCACTGACCTTTGTTTAAAATCACTGATTCTTCAGGAACATTCCGATTACCAATTTGTTGTCTGAAAAATAGAAAAAAAAGCAATTAGTCAATATTTTATGAAATATAGATTTGCGTAAAAAATCTGTGTATTACCTCGTGATTTCCAGAAGAGAGCTAACCAGGAACCAGCAACCAGGAACCAGAAACTGGATAAACTCACTATCACTGCACTGGAACACTATAAAGGCCTTTATAAAACACTACACAAACACTAAAAAACGATAAACAAACTCGGATTGAAAAATAGCTCAAAAATCGAAAAAAAATCACTACGTGTCGACACCACGTAAATTACTTGAATACAAGCGAATATTTTCCTGTTTAAAAATACTGTTCATCACTAATAAAACTTCGAAGGATTTTTATAACAACGTATTTCTAATGAACAAAATCATCACCAATGAAGATAAAATACATAGCGGTTTGCTTTTTCTTTAGTATCACTATTTTAATGGTTGTTCCTATAAAGCCTTGTATCTTCTGTTAAATGGATGAATAATTATTTAATATCAACTAAGAGGTCTTTTTCAACGCAAATTACCATTTAAATCCATCCTTGCGATTTGTATTTCCAAACATCTAGTAAAATTAGAACATCTGTTATGAAATTCGTAGTCTTCCTGGTCAAACATAGTTGCCAAATTTGGCACAACACTGTTAACGCGTATGAAACACTTCTAGTCTGCAAAACGATCAAAAAGTCTAATTATATCAATTCAATATCTCTACTTTATTGTCTTTGTTCTTTTTTAATGGTTTTTATTCACTTAATCTGGATAATAACATCAATGATGCGCATTTTT